TAACAAGAATGAACACTGTTCACAGTGATCATGCGAATGCATCTTCTCTATCAGCCGAACTCACACCCAACGGATCGTCGAATCCTTTGAAGTTCTGGAAATGAAGTGGTCGATGGTCCTCGTGATAGAATTCTTTCGGATTCGCCAACATCAAATCATAACGCATGTTCGCTTCGTGTCGAACCCCTTAATAAAAGCTTTCATTATCATATTCACAATTATTGTTATTACTCTTTGAAGACATTTTATTTCAATTATCCTAATAGTCGATTAACCAAAATAATGAATAATCCGCTTAACCAAAAACAACTCGAAACATGACTTCTGTCAGCTTGGAATATCTGCTCGACAACAGTTGGATTCGAACGAAAAGTGACAAAATCAAAATGGAGTACCAAATCACAACAAAGCAAAACAAACCCATAAAGTTATAATTCCAAATGCCACTCGACGGTACCATGAAATAACCCAAAAAGCGATCCGACAACAGCATTTGCACTTTTTCATAATGCGACGGTAAATAACCTTTCGGATTATTACTCTGTTTATCGGTATTGGTTCGACCCCATTCGAAACCGCTCGGTGTCAATTTATAGGACGTCAGCGACACTGATCCGGGTGTGAAACTGAAATTTGTATGCCATAAACATGACAGCTAGTTTGTTNTCAATTTATAGGACGTCAGCGACACTGATCCGGGTGTGAAACTGAAATATGTAAGCCATTAACATGACGGTTAGTTTATTCAGTTCAATAACAAAGAAAAATTGATCCATGTCGAGCATTCTTTATTTCAAAAAAATGATAGCACCACGAGAACCGAATAAACTTCAATAATACTGACAATCACCAAAACAAAAATTATTCATTCCATTTATATTTTCAATGTTTGCAACTAAAGAACAACTACTTGAGTGCCTCTTTTTTTGTCATTTTCAATATCGCATTCTTTTTCTTCATACGCCTTAAACGCTTGTTGAGCGACCCCAAGGGTGCTACTGAATAAACGATTAGGGACTCACCTGCACGTGATAACGACCGTCTTTTCGCCATCCCAACTCTCATTCTCAAGAAGCGTTTTGGCATGCATCGTGACATCTTGAGGTGACAGCTGAGGCAATTCGTTCGGTTGAGTGTGCATCCTTCAATTGATACCATCATTATTAAACTTCTTATGGTTCGCATCACATTACAGCAATATTCAGTGAAATCAGAACACAAATATTCCAAACAGAACTCTATTCATATGCTATGAAAGGTCATTTCTAAACAGTGAACAATGAAAATAATGGGAGTGATGAACTACACGTATCACAATAAATAAAACAATAAACAATAATGATAATGTGCTAACCATCCAAGTGGTTCAAGATCCTTGATAAATTCATGTGATGGCAACTGATTTGGCAAATGCACCACTTGATGAGTACCCCACTGAGGCGGTAGAACAATACAACGAATCTCTTTCACTTGTGGATTGTCCGGTGGAGATACTCCATACAAATAACCAGCAATCTGTAGGTATCATCTAATTACGATCGACGCATTACGAGTCATTAAAAAAAATTTAGACTGCGATAAGAATCATAGCTTAATGCAATCATATGAACAAACATAGCGATGAACAGTGAGTAAAAGAATAAATAAATCAAAAAAATAATTAAATGGCAAACTGAAGATATAAAAATATAAATAAGGAAATCATTCTAACTTGTGTTCTGAGATCCGAAATAATGATGAATTTTTTGAGTACATTTTTAGGTAGAATGTAGGTATAACCCGTATCTTTGACATCATCCGAATTCACATAAATGTGTTGCGTTCGAAGATGGAGATTCGTTGAACTGATTGCACGTACACGCCATTCAGTGCGCGATGCGAACGTTTGACTCTGAAACAAACCGACTGACTTTATTAAGTCACACAAATTCCCAGAACCAATATGCTCCATCCAAATTGCAAGCTAAACCATTTGTTCATTAACTGAAGTGATTACAACGAAGCACAAACCTCATAATTACTTGTAGTTGCTGAAATAATTTCATCACCGTGCTTATTGACGGTACGTGTCGTTGTTGCCGTCACCTGCAAATATAAATTCTCCAGCATTAGGTCACCACTTTTGATAATGATACTTTCAGAAATCCACCAAACATCAACGATATCTCTTTGTTATGCTTCAGTTACTTTGAGAAAACGTCCGAAGCGAACGTAAAGTGAAAAACAACACAAGTATCACGCGTTATGTACAAAGTACGTTGCATTGAGATTGTACACTTGCATATGATATGTTTAACACAGATATAATAAAAGTAATCTCAAGCAATAAGTGAACACTACCGAAACAGTATTAATTACAATGTGGATGCAAAAGATAATGAGAACAACAATTCACCTGACTCTGCTCCTTCGTCTGTTTCTCAATTTCGGCGATCTGTTGTCTTTGAGCAGATGGCGCACTGATTTCCATACCCAGAATGATATCCCTCACTTCACTCTGCGTTAACGACGCAACGTTGACGTTATTCTTCTTACCGTAATCAGCTAATATCATATCTTTCAATGCCAATTCAACCTGAAATTTCATTACTCAGTTTCATTATTCTCTAACACGTCGTGCTGTTCATTAGAGAATTTAAACACCGGAAAGAACAAAATAAACAATCTCGATGTGTTGTGAGATTTTTTTGTCATTTCCCGCATAACTCACTGAAATGACTATGATCATATATATCGTTACACGGACTCGAGCATAAAGTCGCAATTTTTAGGCACTTAAAAGATTTTGCATCATATCGGCACAAGTACAACACTTAATCAGTTGTTCAGTAGTGAAAACGTGCAAAAAATGAAATTTGAAAAGGCGAACCTTAATCCATTCCTCATCACCCAACGACGGCCATATGTGATGCGGTTCGGTGATCGTCGTTTTGTCGGGTTTTAAGATCACCTTTGTCTTGTCCGGATTTATGTGCATACCTCGCATTATCAGAATAACTCGTGAAAACGCCGTGTAACTGGAGATCGTCTGAAAAGTAAATATTCAAAAACACAATACAAATAAACCAAATGCTCTACTAAAAATTAGACGCGTGATATTTCAAAAGCAAAATTTCGATTCCTTTTTAAATGTTTCCACATTCTCACTAAACACCTCCATCCAGCTTCAAGCACATCGTTTTCATGCACACTTTCGATCTCATTACAAACGGTTTTTCCTTCAGCACATCATCTTTGCGAAGAATTTAAGATACACAAGATAGGATTGAAATGGGGAAATTTTAAAAAATGAAAAGAACAATTGATTCGGTAACAAACCTTTAGCCAATCGTCATAAAGATTGAACAGAACCATTTGNTCATTATTCTCTAACACGTCGTGCTGTTCATTAGAGAATTTAAACACCGGAAAGAACAAAATAAACAATCTCGATGTGTTGTGAGATTTTTTTGTCATTTCCCGCATA